TGGGTCACATGTTTTTTAAAATATTTCCTTAAATAGGAAGTCAAATTATTTAATTAAAAAGTCAAACTTTCTATTTAAGTATTTTTCCAACAACCTTTTTATATAGATATAGATAGATATAGATTTTATCAAATGTGGGCATGAATTTTTTGTAATGTCAGTAACTAGGAATGGTTGAAATATTTTGTTCCTAAAGACAAATGCATTGGTATCGTTGAAATATTTTGTTCGATCTTCTTTGGTCGACCATTTTTCAAATATGGCTTATTTTACTCTATGTAAGCGCACCACTGATGTCGTGCATGTCACACAGATGTTCTTTTGAAGGTTTATCGCTTGCACGACCTGCCTTCATCCATTGTGTCTGACAGGTTCCTTCGTTTCTTTTTGCGTAGTTTGTGGCGTCACCGCATCAATTATTATGCGGTTGGACTGCAGCAATGCTTATCATCCGCAAACTGACGGGGAGATGAAGGTCGTCAATCGGTCACTTGGGAATTTGTTGCGATGCTTGGTGAGTTAAAATTTGAGGAGTTGGGATCAGTGGCTCACCCAAATGGAGTTTGCCCACAATTGGGTTGTTATTTGGACTACACGGTTGTCTCCGTTTCAGGTGGTTTACGCCGTGTAGTCACGCGGCCTCGTATATTTGATGGCCTTCCCGTCGCCGGTGTTGATCGAACGTTGGGCCGAGGATTTCATGGCTAATTTGCATCGCACGCATGAGACGACTCCTGCTAATTTGGAGGTGGCGGCTGCATCATATAAGCGCCATGCTGATGCTCGTCGGCGTCATGTGGTGTTTGAGGTAGGTGGCTTTGTTTGGACTGTGCTGGCAAATGACCGATTTTCTACGCAAGAGTACAACAAGTGTCGACACGCAAGATCGCCCTGATTGAGATTGTGGAGAAGATCAATCCAAATGCTTTCCGCCTCCGTTTGCCTTTCCACATTCGTACCTCCAACGTCTTCAATGTCAAACAATTGGTGCAGTTCCGTGGTGACAACTCGGACGAAGACAAAATTCGGTTGAATTCGAGGGCGAATCCTTCTCAAGTGAGGAAGAATGATGAAGACGAGGTTGCATTGACCTTTGTGTACAAGCATGATCGTTTATCGTCATTAGTTTAGTTATTAATTCTTTTTTTTTTTTAATATTTTATTATTATTTGCATTATTAGAATTGGTAGGTAATCTTAGTTTATTTTCCCTAATCATTTTCTTGGTAGGCAAGTCAACTAATTTAGGGCTTTGTAGGAGTTATGCTTTCGCTACGTCACTATGTTAGATTTTCTAGTGTAGTGTAGGAAAGTTAAAATTTAACCTTGATTTTTCAGTCGCTTGCTCTATATTTTTCTCTAATCGAAATATATTATTCAAAATAAAATTTAAGCACAACTATAAAATTAAAATTAAAAGTTTATTGAACAAAATAACTAAAAATTATTAGTGTATACTTTGTCAAAATAATACTTCCTGAAAGATCAATTTAGAAGAAAATAAAATATTGAGGAAAAATTGTAGCATGACTAACAATACTGCACTTAGCACTGTCAAATGGGCCGGTGGCCCACGGGTTGGCCCGTCCGTCCGCTTAAACGGATTGGCTTGGGCCTTTGCTTGGTCAGCCCGTTCAATCGCGGGCCTATTTGGCCGTCCCGTTTGGCCCGCGGGCTGGGGCGAGTTGGCCCGTTTTTTTTATTATTATTTTATATTATTTAAATTTAGTATTTTTTTAATTCTAATTCTAACTTGCACATGAAACATTTTTTTACATAATAAAAATATTAATAAATCAAATAATACTTTATGTCAATTAAGTCGTTCATGCGCGTGAATACCCTATAACTATTGATAGAAAAAATAAAAATAAAAACTAGATGATAAATAATTAACATCATTACACATGAAACCTTGCTAGTTTACTAATATACTAGTAAATATAAGGATAAACAAAACAAAAAATATCTAAGAGTGCGAATACCAAAAAAATAAATAAATAAATAAAATCCGCGGGCGGGCCAATTTGGCCCGCGAGCTATGGATTTCCCCGCCCGTAGAAATGCGGGCCATTTTGGCCCGTCTTGTTTGAACCTTGGGCCAGCGCGGGCCGGAGCGGCCCATTTGACAGTGCTACTACATGTAACACGATATTGTTCATATCTCCCAAGTCATGAAAAAGTGTGGCGCAATATGAGAACAACTTTTTCCACAACTCCAAAGTAGAATGAAATTGATCGAAGCAAAGTCCCACGTTTTCAAAGGTCCCCTGACTTTTCTTTTCAGTGTGCGTCCATTTTGGGCTTCGAATTGATAAGATTTTCAACTTTGAAATGTGCAGTCGCAGACAGATCTTTTGGCTTTATATCATTATCCTACGGTCAAAATTAAGGCTTTAGATTTGTAGCGATTAAGATCAACTCGTTGTGCAACAACTTACACCTAAATTTTTCAAACTATCACTGGATGGTGATGTTGTGGCTTTAACACCATGTAATCATGATGATCATTTGTTTAACTTTCCAAAAAGTCAAAGGATAGATACCAAGGAGTACATGTTCTCCCTTGGAATAACCAAGTCAACGAAACCTAGGTAAAACAAGAAAGAAAAAAAAAAATAAGAGAAAGAAAGAAAAGAGAAAGAGAGAACGCCGAACTTTACCGTCGTGCGTGAAGGATATCTCTTTGTACATTGACGGGCTGTCTAAGTATCTCGACGACGCGCAGCGACTCGGTGGAACGGGGCGACTTCGTGTTCCTCGGTGGATTAGGTGGGTGCGGCCTTTATCGGGATTGGTGAAGTTGAATTCCGATGGCTCGTACAAACGGGATGTCGGGCTTGGGCAGTGCGGGTGGCCTTTTAGGGGATAGGATGGAAATTGGCTTGGGGGTTTCACGATGAATGTAGCCTGCTGCTCGATTATGGCAGCAGAATTATGGGGGCTTTTTCGGGGTCTTTCTTTGGCTTGGGACCTGGGTTATAGGCATGTTGAGGCAGAGGTTGATAATGCCAGTGTTGTGAGTTTCTCGGAGTCTATGGATGATGTCTCGGGAGTGCATTCGGGTTTAATTATGGGGATTAAAGACTTATTGAGCCGCTCTTGGCAAGTTAAGGTGAAACACGTGGTCCGCGAGGCGAATTTTGCAGCCGACTTCATGACTTCCTTTGCTGCGGAGGGTCGGTGGGATATCAGTCTTTTAGTGTGCCTCCCTTTGGGGTTCGGCAGTGACTGCACCATGATGTGATCGGTGTGTCATATTCACGTAACGTGGGTGACTAGAACTCATGAGGCTCTAGCCTCTTTCTTTGTACCCAAAAAAAAAAATGTAAAGTCAAATACACAATCGCAGCTGTACTAATTGAATTTAGAGTTAAGCAATTAGATAATTATAATTTTTCGATACATGTACATACTTTAATTTTATAAAATAGAAATGTCGCACTACAGAAAACATTACAAACAAATACATGTCGTTTCATACTATAAGTTGCGTTTATCTTAAAAGAGTATTTACTGGTCGACCCACTTAATAATAATTAAGGCAAACTCATACAAAAAACTTATGCTAGAAATATGGAACTAGGATCCATCCATGATCCAATATACAAAATCATCCAGACTGTATAAAATAAGTATCGAATCAAAACCAGCACATTTCTAACGAGACTTCGTCCGTGTACAAGATCAAATGACTTTCAGAACAACAAACGTTTTTTTCAACCTATGCCTGTGCTTATAGCTTACAGGTTTTCAAGAATTAGACTTTCTCATGTGTCAAAAGTTTATTACTTAGTGAGCAAATTCAGAAGTGACAAGCTGCCTTGTGTTTTGTTCTTCTCGTCCAACGGCTCTCTCTTTCTGCCTCTGCCTCCCTGAAATAACAACGGTCTGTAATCGATAAGCAGTAACAAGTTTCTGAACATAATACATTGGAGAGAGAGAGAGAGAGAGAGAGAGAGAGAGAGAGAGCATGAGTATGAGCATGGTGAATATAAATGAACCGATATTTTTTTCACCTTTGGCTTGTCATTCTCATCCTTGATGTCCAATATGCTAATATCCTTCAGCAATACAGAGGAAGCTGGAAGCAGTCTCCTGAATAAATTGAAAAAACAATACTAGCATTGAGTCATGGGACTTAAGTGAGTTGTGGGAAAATAGACAAATGAATAAAGAATAAAATACGAATGAACTATATAATAAACCTCCTTGGTTTATTTGGTTGCTGCAAATTGCTGGAAGAATCATGCTTAGGTACAAATTTAGCTGTGCTATTTGCATCCCATCCTTCCTTTGGTGGAACTGTGACCAGTGGATTCGCCTGCTTCTGCATTGGCCGAGAGTATTATTTCCGCAAAAATAAAACGCAAGTTTCAATATTTAACATCTCTAGAAACAATGAGAAACAAAACCTTGTAGATGGATTATAATGCTCGTGACTCAAATAGAACGACAATGTAGAATGTAAAGATGCTCATGGGTGTATACTTTCAGATGAATGCGAGGTTATGTGTTGGTTCACAGATGAGAAAATTGGGTATATATATATCGTCACTATTATTACACCTTTCTCTTCGCTAATGGAGCAGAAGAAAATTCTTGAAAATATCCCCCACGCACACAATGGCAAGCAAACGCTAAGCATTGGCTGTTCCAGAAAAAGGCATAAATCCAAAATATTAATCACATTGCAATTCCTTGACTTAGCTGATTAAAAATTACGTAGTATTTTTACCAGACAGACAACTACATGCCAATTGCTATACAAAGATAGAAGCATTGTCGAGCAGATGTTTAAACAATATTTATAATGTAAATAACGATAAATAAATTAACAATTTATGAAGTGCTATAAGCCTCAAATAAACCTCTTGAGATTCATTATTGAGCCACTTTTCGTCTTTCTGGGGAGATTCAGGAGATATAATAATGTGCGAATTGACTGCAACAGAAGCAATGTGGTCCTCAACTAAAGACAGTCCATCTGTAAAATAGATACGACTAAGATAAAGTACAGAAGACAAAAGGGACTACTCAAGAAGATTCTAAAATAAATTTAAAGCGTAACAAAAGTGTTGCAAGGGAAGGAGAGTGCTGAGGAATGGATAAACATTGGAAGGTTCTAAAGAAAAATGAAATCATGGCCCATGTCCATGTTGCTTAGATTAAAAGGCCAAGTGTTGGTTAAATCTTTTGTGTAGGCATAAGACTAAATTTAACGCAGTAGAGAAGACCTTAAACTACTGCACTTTATTTTTAGAAATTGCAACAATAATTCCATGGAGGAGTTAGTTCCATTTCTAACAATTATCATATGAAAGAGCCTATTATCTTAGCTTAACAATAAAAATCTATTTCTATGCGGACCTGCTGGACCATCTTCAAGCTGAGCAGGCTCTTCTTTAGAATCTTCACAATCCCGAGAACTTCTCAAACTCTCATATTCAAGAGCAGTAGAATGGCATGATTCGCTTGATACACACCCACTTACTTGTTCCAAATTCGTTACATCTCCCCTTGTGTTCACAGCCTCTTGCTCAGACTCATTATCTATGGACGCGCTCGTTTTACTGCTGGAAGACACATCATCTACGGCTTCGTACGAAGCCAAACTCGCAGCACTTTTATTACTTCTTGAAAATTCTGGACTTAGGACACACATATCCACTGGGAAGAAATTTTCAATTCCCTTATCTTCTTCAATTTCATCTTTGCGTTCACGGATATCTTCAAGTTGCTGATTAAAAAAATAGTCACCAATTTGTTCAACATATAATAAATGCTAGTTTATGGAGTCTAACTCCAGACGTTTAATAAGGACGACGGAAATCGATGCCTAAAAACTGGTGACTCAATACCTGCGAGTAATGCTCAGAAGCAGAAGTCACAACTGAATCTGTACCCTGATCAATAATTAAATAGTTTTCAGTGAATAAACCAACAGTATGAAGTGGTCCGGGAATGTAGCATATACTAATGGCTTACAGAAGGACCCATCTTTTCTTCATTTTCACATTCGTTCAACCACTTTAAGGAACAAGATGGAACTTCTGAGTTCACCTAGGCATAATTTTAGAAACAGAAATCAGATGATCTGTCGGGTAAGAAAAGATGCTCGCATTCGCAATCTATGTTTAGTAACTCTATTTCACCAAATGTGAGAAAATATTCTCATAAACAATGTCAAACAATACAGATCTGCGGGTTTGAAAATAAGAGCCTAACACTTGGAGCAAATAAATACTTTCTTGGATGTTGTCCTAACTGATATAACATCCCTAGCATAAGATGCATGAAAAGAAAAACTAAAAGGTCGGGTACAGAACAAATTAGATGTGAGGCATTAAGAACTAAAAGCATATACCTCGGGCATTTCAGCTCTCTCATGTTGTGAAAAATTGAAGGCAGCATCATGAGATGAAACTGAGACCACAAGAGTTGAGACACTTTTGCAAGTACATTGACACCTCAACTCGCTTAGTTTGTTTTCTAGATCAAAGAATCTTTTCTTTTCACTAGCCAGTTTACTCTCAAGGCCCAGGCTCCTTCTCTCTTCATCGATTAATCTATCCCTTAGATTGCAATTTTCAATTTCAACCTCCTGTTGACAAACATAGTAAAAGAATTCAAGGTGTTATTCAGTCTAAAAGCCTGAAATAGCCAGTCATAAGCGTTGTCTCAATGGTAATCAAGGTGTCATACTTATCTCAATGGTAATCACATAATACCTTTAGCTTTGTCTTGTACTGTCTCATAACAGATAAAAAAGCTTTTGAAAGTCCTTGCAAAATTTGGTACTCCCGATTCTTTTCACCCATCACTTTACTGAAATCCCCCCCTAGTGATGATTCCTCTCTAATCCCCAGCCCAACAAAGCCATCTGATGAAACATGGACCTCCTTTAAAGTTTCATTAGATATATCCTCATTGTTCAGGTTAAGTCGATCTTTGACCACTTTCCTAGAGATATCTGTCCAAGAAGTAACTAAGGCATGAGGAATCTTCAAATAGAAACTACACATGACACGAGGACAATACCATAGCATAACATGCAAAACAAGTCTCAGACACAGGTGCTATTAACCAAAATATATATTGCAATCCACTTTCCTAGAGATATCTGTCCAAGAAGTAATTAAGGCATGAGGAATCTTCAAATAGAAACTACACATGACACGAGGACAACACCATAGCATAACATGCAAAACAAGTCTCAGACACAGGTGCTATTAACCAAAATATATATTGCAATAACCTTTGCGCAGTAAGAAAGAACCTCTATCAGTATTTCCTTCATTAACCTGAAAGAAAACAAGGATTAAATCAAACTACGGATGATATTAGGTAGCATTGATAATATGACATCAAACTGTTCTTAATTTGCTGAACGTGTGTTAAAAACGATCAAAAAATGTCGTACCGGTGAAGCTGCACTTTCGCTTAACTTCACTTTCTTATGGTGCTCAGCTGGGGCCAAGGCTTGGTTGGGCCTCTTGTTGCTAGTCAAAGTTACAGGCTCTTCTGGTGATTTAAACCTGCATAGGAAACCAAAGGTTTCATAAGTTCACCGAGAAATGCTAATCTGGAAACTAACTAATGCTCATATAAGGATCCTCACTTTATTTTTGCAAAAGGTGAAGCCTGCCTCAGCAGAAAGGATGTGTCAAGATAATCTTCAACTCCAGGTTTGACTGTTAAAATCTGCAGGATCACAAACTTCGATATTGCAATTACATAGACCATTGAGTAATAACTCGTGTAATGGTTGCATAGCCCTTAACATTACCAGCATCATCCTCTTCTTGCCTTCCAGATAATCTTTCAGGTATCGTGTTAACTGAGCAAAATAATCAATTCAGATGATGTGTTTGGCTCAGAATACATACGCAATTCCATATATCTTTAGAAAAAAACACAACCAATGGCATTTGCATATCACAATTCAGAATTACCAAGGAGTTTTTGTAGTGCTTCTGCAGCAGCTTATTCCTGTTCTTCTGGTGCTCCAACAATGACTGAAAACGAAGAATAGAAATAACATATGACAGATACTCATCCCAGTACTTGAAATAAAAAAAGTTTAACACTTGTTCACCCCAACTAGTGATGTTAGAGACCAAGGCAGTAAGAAAGTAAACCAAACAGTGCATCTCACGAGTCACAGGCCATACCCTCAAGCAAAGACCAAATACCATTGAGGTGTTGTTGATAAAATTGCTCTCATGCAGTCTAGCTCCCTGAGGAATAATACAAATCAGCTTGAGTAGCAGGAAATAAGCTTGATGTATCATACACTAGTTGGAAGAATTATCTTCTTCGAAGTTCAATAAGTACATTAATAAGAATTCTAATAATTATATATGTATGAGTGTGTGTGTGTTTGTGTCTAGTCCCAAGATCTCTAAATGTAGCTGTATCTAAAAATGATGTGACACTCCTAAATTTGCTAATGAATGATAAATCAGTCTCAGGAATAGGCTTCCGGCGATGTCTGGAACTTCTGGACAGCCAAATCCACCAACTTTAATTCATCCCAATTCAGTTTTGGACAGAAAATCCTACTTTTTAGCTCGCTTTTAAGTTCAAAATACAGTTAAGCTAGGTGTTAATATTGGTACAGGCACATGAAAATATTTTTAGATGAATTTTCTAGCCGCAGGTTTCCCCCTACCACGAAGACATTATTCATTTGGTTTCACATTATTAACATTTACCATATTGCCGGTCTTCTTTTCTCTCTCTGCTCCAGCAAGGTCCACAATTGTCAGCATACTGCTCATATCTTTGTCATCAACTTCATCACTGACGTTCTCAGAATCACAGCGGATGTTAATGATGCACTGTGAGCGACTGCACGAATTTGAAAAGACAACCATCCAGAAAAAAAAAAAATAGCAATCACTATATACAAAGGTAACGAAATTTTGAAGATGGTAAAGAAGCCAATACACTCGGAAAAGCTGAACAAGAATGGAGAAAGCATAAACAAACTAAACCATGAAATAAGCAGATAGTTTAAGCCAATGGACATAACTACCTAATATAACATCTCATATTCACAGTCATATAAAAGAATTCATTGTTCAACACAACCACGAAAGATATAGGAATAAGAAAATTTCTCAGTTCCATAATTTCTCCACACTTATACAATTTAGCTCTTTGTACCATGTAAAGTTCATATAACTGACATCGAGAAAACAATAAGTTTAAACTAGACTTATAATTTTCATTGAGCTGCTCCTGAACACTAATTGTTGATGGATTAGAATACCACAACTTGAATCAAGCACTTCCATTGCATATTCAGATGGTCTGCATCGCCGTCAATGATATTATTTTCCAGAAAGATTTATATAAAACAAAAGGAATCAGTTGCCTAACAAACATATATTTCCTGTGGAAAGAGCATCTAAGCATAAGTAGCACCATGAAATTAATGAATATGCACACATCCAGAACAAAAAAAAAAAAAAAAGCTTCAAATCATCTACATGGTCAACCTTGCAACACGAATCTAGACAATAATAGGTGATCAAACCTTGACTGACTATTCGAATTGGTCATAGCTGTTGCACGTTTCAGCATCCCATGAGCAATTAGGGACTCAGCTTGCTGAGCATCAGAAACCACTGCCTATATATATTCCCCAAAATGAATAATCAATAGCATTTCATTTCACTATTTCAGTCATCAACTTCAAAAAATACCAGAATACAGTCAAAGAAATATTCAACGAGCAGAAATCACAGGGTGTAACCTCTTGGAGTCCCTTGAGAACTGATTGTTGCATGCATATGTCACCTCTATCATGCAGTAAATCTACCATTCTCTCTGCCTTTCCTTTCTCTGACGAGATTTCAAACATCGACAGATAAAATGCCCTGCCCGCATAAGATTAAAAGATTAATAAGCATCATTAAAAAAAATCAACAAAACTGAAAATAAACATAAATGCTCCAATGTCAGCTCATTTGCAAAGATTCACAAACACATATAAGATAGGCAAAACCAAAATAAACTTCATTGTCATTTCCCTGGCCATCGATTCTAAATAAAATTTTACCTCGATGAGCCCATTCCACTTTTTTTGTGTTCACTAAAAATGCGACGAAGGGCGAGTGGTACCATACCAGGTTCTCTGGCACACCCGAAAACAGTATGGGTTTTACCAGAACCACTAGGCCCCATGGCAGCCAACATCCCACTTTTTCCTTTTAGGAAATCGTCTACTAAGGGCTCCACCATTTGCTCATACACATCGCTCTACACACAAATTGCTACAACAAATCACAAACAGTACAAAATTTAAACTCGAAAAAAAAAAACGATATTGCTTAGCTAGCCTACCTGAGATTCTTTCGAACCAAACACACGCGAAAACCCCTCGTACACCTCCGATTTTATCCTCTTCGTCTCCTGCAAGGCTTGCGGAGTTGCAACCGTGACAGATCGCAAATCTTCATTCACCTGCACGCACGATTCACTGCTCTTCTTTGCTTTCGGCTTGCAATTATTAACTCTGAATTTGGGATTCTTGGGCCAAGCCTTCTTCGTTTCAACCGCATTCTTGCTCGTTTTCTGCACGGCAAGTGGACGGATTCTCAAGAACACTTTGAGATTCTCGGCCAGGGTTGTAGAGGCAGGATCAGCATTGCTGGCGTCAGCGTCTTTAGGGTTTTCAGAAGCCTCGCCGGATAAAATGTTCCGCGAGAGGGACGGAGAGGACAGCGGCTCGCGGAGAGGTATGGCGGATTTAGGGGTGGGGCGTGCTCTCCGCGGCGGGTTGCGGCGGATGGTGACGGTGGGCGGGCATGGAGGAGGAGACTGCAACTCCATTTTTTCACTATTTCCTTTTTTGAGGAATTTTTTGGTTGAATATAAAAGAACCGTTGATCGATTTTGGGATTTGAATTTTCGAAGGGAGAGTTTAGCTGAGGAAGATTTAAAAAGGGCCGCACTTGTACAGTTAGCGGGTCGGACTTCTTCATTAAAAAAAAAAAGAAAAAAGAAAAACAAAAACAAAACAAAAAATATTTTTATTTTTTATGTAGTTTTTTCAGGTGTCAAATTATAGGAAGAGTCCCGTTAGCCGTTACGGAACCATTCCATCGGAGTTTGTAACGTTAGATCAACTATATCTGACGGTTACATGATGATTTAACCGTTACAAATCTCGACGGAATGTTTTCGTAACGGGACCGTAGCATTTTCCCAAATTGTAATCTCACATCTTTTTTTTCATATTTCATTATCGTATTTTTCGCTTAATCCACTTTATCCATAAAAAATACAACAATAAGTTCAAATTTAATAAAAATTAGTATATTGTATTATTCATGTTGTGTTGTATCAAGCTATCATTTTATATATATAATCGAGTTTTCTAGTCGTGTTTGTATCGCGATAGTTGTTAGAATATCACTTATAAGTTGTTTCACATCGTTTATATAGTGAAAATATGTATAATTATAAATCTAATAGGTTACCCTTTATTCCAACAATTGATTTTGGGATAGAACTTCACTTGGCTTTATCTAGGCTTTTCCTGCATATGGTCTTTTTATAAAGGACTCACAAGTGAGAGAGTGTGTTAGAATATTACTTGTGAGTTGTCTTACACTGTTTATATATAGAAAAATACCTAATTTATAAGTTTAATGGGTTACTCCTCCTTCCAACAATTGGTTTTAGGATGAAATCTCACTTTGACCGCACCCATCTTTTCCCCTGTTTCTTACAACAGTCATTACACACCTCGACTATTTTCTCGATTGATTGTATTTTAAAAAATTTATTATTAATGAACGATTGTATAATAGAGAGAGAGTGAGAGAGAGAGATTTACTTGAAATAATATTTTTTAATGTCGGATTATTTTTCAAATAATATTAAATTAATCTATTACTATATAATAGAGAGAGAGTGAGAGAGGGAGAGAGGGAGAGATTTACCTTAAAGAGCATTAAAATTCCCGCTTAAAATTCTTCAAAGTTATTATTTTTAGTTTTTTTTTTTTTTTTAAATGAGGACCGCATGAAAATTGATATTCAAATTAAAAAAAAAAATAGTAAAATACTATTTTAGTTCTGTATGTTTCACTACCTAACTTTTTCAGTTTTTCTTCCTCTTTGAATTTCGTTTTTTATTTTCGTCCCGTATGTTTGCAAAAAAATTAAAAAAAAATGCCATTTTCGCAACAAAATGATCATTTATGTTTTGCAAAAAAAAAAAACGAAAATAAAAACGCAATTTGAAGATGACGAAAAAGTTAGGGTAGTGAAACATACATGACTAAAAATGCATTTTACTCTAAAAAAATGTTATTTGGAGAAAAATATTGTGTACACCTTAATTCCTAAAAATATTGACAATGATTTCCTTAAATACAACGAGTAAATCTGACCAATAATAATAAATAATATTGAAAATATTGCTTCTAAAAGGTTTGATCAATCATTTTTTTTAATTTTTAATTTTTTTTTTTTGGTAAAAAAATGTAAATTTGGTTACAAAAATCCGGTCAACCATTTAACGAATAAAACATATTAATTTTTTTGAAAACTTTCAAAAAGTAATGTCAACTTAATTACTAAATATTGTTTTATCTATATTTATCTATCTATAAATTTCATATTTGTCACAACTAAAAATTCGTATTTATTTAATAAATAATGCTAATTTCGTATTTTTTATATTCGGAGAGTTCAACTTAATTGATGATTTTTTTTGTCCATATTTATTTAGCTACAAAAATCTCTTAAAGTTTAGAAAGAAACTCATATTATGTGGGTTCTTGGTATATTTTTTTTTTTTTTACATATCTATTTTTCATCTCATATCCAAAATACAAATTTTAATACGAATCTTAAATATCTCATAAATATATATATATATATATAAATATATATATATATATATATATATTTTCAAAAAGTATGACGATCATATAATTAATTTTATCATATATCATGTGTTGGATGTTATTGAGTTGGTTGAGAACACTCATTATTCAAATAAATAATATATAATTTTTTATTTGTATCTCTTTTCTTACAATAATGAGATGTTAAACATGAATAACTATGTTTAATATAAAGTCTTATAAAAGGTCTAAAGTAAACAGTTTGTTTGTGAATCGCACGGGATACGCACAAGTTAATATTATTACAGTTGTTGGCACGTCTGGTGAGGCATTTTATGGCGATATTAGGCTCATCCGGCACGGAACCCATGTAGACAATTCCGGCCCTGCCTTTCCCGATTATATTCTCTTCTTTCAAGTACCTGATTACATCTTCAGCCGTGAAATCCACCTTTTGAGAAGTCGTGAGCTTCCATTTTCTCGATTTTTTGAAATGCCGCCTTCTGAAAAAAGTCCAAACACATAGTAAAACTAATAAAACCAACAAGATAATGGGGCGTGGGGGATTTGGGAGTGGGGTGTGCTCGCCGAGGCGGGTTGCAGCAGGTGGTGATTGTGGGCGGGCATGGAGGAGGAGACTGCAACTCCATTTTTCACTATTTTTTTCTTTGTTGTTCTTTTTTTTATGCTTTGCATATAAGAGAATCGTTGATCAATTTTTGGATTTGAATTTTCTAACGCCATCTCCAGCTCTCATCTCTACTGTTGCGGAGTTTACTCTACTCTATAGTATAATTATAAAAAAATCAAGTTTCGTTCCCAACAGTTCGCCTTACATTTTATGCCACAAATATTTTCTTTTTATTTTTATTATTTTAAATTATGTTAATTTCACAAATGTATATTGTTTTACACATATTTAATTATTTAAATTATTATCATTATATAATTAATAAAATACAAATAGTACAACAATATTTATATAAAATTATATTATATGCTAAAATATGTATAAGTATTTACTAAAATATTAACTAAGATTTAAGAGATTTCAATTTATAATGCAAGTCATCATTGAAAATGAATTTCTTGTGTTAATCTCGTTCGTCCAACAATTTACTACATTTTTTTCTATTATATATAAGTTTGTTAAATGAAGATATGTATTATGTTGAAAACAATTATGGTAAATTTTATTCATATGTTACTATTTTAATATTAAAAAAATTACAAAATAAAATTATAATACATTAGTAAATAAAAAGTTCTAACTCATCTACATAGTCAACTTGCAATACAAATGTTGAGGAGTACAAGGAGCTTTCTTGCTTGTTCCAGTGGGCGGATTCTCAAGAAGGACGGAGCTCAAACCTAGTTTTAATTTATTGTCTTATCTAAATATGTAGTAGTACAAAAAATATTTTAGTCTATGTTTTATTAATTTAATTCATTTAAAATTATTTCATATTCAACCAAAATATTATACATATTTGTGGACATGACTTAAACTTTTTATATGTATTTTCATGTGGTTATAGCTTACTTTGTCATTTTTCTTCTTTAATTTTAGTTTTTAATGTTTGGTTTAAGAGACACGATTAATTTGTATTAGTTTATATGTGAAATATATCAATTACTTGTTAACTTTTAAATAAATTGTATTTGAATATGTGAAATATATAATTTAATTTCATTAATTTACGTAGCATATCAATGAAACGATATTTGAAATTCCACAATTTAAGTGAAATATCATGTAACAAGTATGTTGGATTAACATGTCTATTCAATACAATGACATTTAGACTTCGACAATTTAAGTGAAATATCATATAACAAGCATGTTGGGTTGACTTGTCTTATAAAATGTTCATCCTCATCTCAAAGCTTACAAAACAGGGGCTCCTCATCCTAACATCACAAAGGTCAAAGACCTTATTGACACATCAGGTAGAAGATGGAACAAGCCACTTATTGATCAACTATTTCCCTCACAAATAGCTGAAAAAATTCTGCAACTTCAAGGCCTTGACCCCCACAGCAAAGATAAACTAATCTGGGATTGGAGTTCAAACGGGCAATTCTCAGTATCTTCTACCTACTCTAAACTCATTGTCCAACATTTAAGGAAGATGGATACTGCAGAGACAAGTGCTAATCAGCTAGATATTCAAAGAGCAAGAAGGAGAATGTGGAGGCTCAGGATTAAAAACAAAATTAAGCACTTTCTGTGGAAAGCTTTCAACAACATCCTGCCAGTTATGCATAATCTGAAAAACAAAGGCCTCAAAGTTGACCAGACTTGCAAGATCTGCGGGGAAGGTGAGGAAACTCAGGAGCATTTGTTCTTCCACTGTAATAGGGCCCAACTCATATGGAAAATAGCTCCTGTTTCTTGGGACGGCTTGCAGCAGCACACAGAGAATTTCAAATCATGGTGGATGACCCTCTGCACAACCCAAGCCACAGCCATCATGGAGGACAGAATTCAACTCTCTTCTTACCTCTTATGGTGGCTCTGGAAGACCCGTAATCTTTGGGTTTTTCAAAACAGCCTGAGATCGGAGCTGGATACTGTTGAATTAGCTGTGAATGATTGGTTAGAATTTGCCTCGTTGCTGGTTGATCAACCTCTGTAGCTTTGTGCAGTGTTTTATTGCTTTGTTTTTGTTTTTCCTTGGTAGTGTTTTGATAGCTAACTAGGTCCCGGTTGGGTGCAGTGGTTAGTTATTTTTGCGGGGTGCTGGTAGCCTTTAGGCTGTCAGGACTTTTAGATCCGAGTTTGAATCTCAGGTTCATCGAGTAGGCTGCTGAGGTTTAAACTTGGTTCTGTGGCTGTATTATTTAGGGGCCTCGGTCTCCTCTCTCATGCTTCATTGCATTGGGGTCTTGTACCTCCGAACTATGTAATTATTCTTTTGAGTTATTTTAGCATCTATCGTTTCGAAAAAAAAAAAAGTTTAGCTGAGAAAGA